GGTTTCCTTTAACTTTCCGCCAAACTTCCCACCAAACTTTCCACCAATCTGCTGTTCTTCTTATTTTTTTTAATGTTTTCATCCATTCAACTCATTAAGAAGGTTGGACTTCCAATTTAAATTATAATTATACCAGAGTGATGTGGTCTGCAGATTCCATCGAAGAAACAGGTTAATTTCTTTCCTTTCAAGCGGTAAGGATCGGTATCCAAGGATATTCCAAACCTTTCAGAAGATTATTAGATGACACTGTGCAGGGATGGAAAGCTCAAACAAGGCAAATAAAAAAGGAAAAGGGGACATTAGTGCATCATGTTACCGATTCCAACAGCAGTGCATAATTCATCATAATGTTCCATCGATGACAAATGTGAAGCTCCCTTGTTTTATTTTGTATCAATTTGTCATATCTCTAGAGAACCTGAGGGGCTATTGAATTGCCTCAATTTGATGGACTGCACTGCTGCCCTTTAAGTTTCATATTTCTTAGATATAAAGTTTTTTTTGCTCACACTGAAATTCAAAGTTGCAAAGCTCCATTGACAATGACATTCTGTAGTTTCAAAATACCAGTATTAACTGCACAGGTACCAAAAGTGTCGTTCATATGTCAATCATATTGACTGATAACACTCACCAATATGTGTATGTGTGTTCCTGACACTTCCTTAGGTAACAATTTGTTTTGCTATTTATGTTTCACCAGAAATTGACAATTTGTAGCTATATATGTACATCACGTCTGACTGTGGATGGCGGGGGGGGGGGGGGGGGGGCTGAAATGTAGCATTTTTTTTCTTCATGAAGGATAGAACATTTGCTCGCTAGGAATAATAATAGTCATTTTCTGCACTGTATCATCTGCAAACACACCGTCTAAGCACTTTGATTACGACATTGTCATTGGTTACTAGATTAGAATCGAGCTGTGAAAGCGATACATGGGATAAGATGAGACTTCCTGCCATGTTAGGCAAGCTTCCCTTTCATTCCAAATATCAATGAACTATCCATCTCCTGTTCTCTATTGTTCCCATACCTCCCATCACCTGCACGTTTTGACGCAGCGCCCGGCCCTCGCTTGACCCACGCATCACTACGCTTCCTCTCGCAATTTCCTGCCGAGTTGCTGAGGTGTTTCTAAGGGAGACAGCTCTGAAAGGGATTAGAAAGACGACTTGATTGGATTTCACTTTCATTTCACGAATTGTGTCGCACATTTAGAGGTGACCTAGTCCGAATGCTTTGATGGAGCATGTAGAAGTTGTGTGACATCTTTGAGTTGTACGCTTGTTTGTAGACGGGGAGGGGGAGGAGGTATGGGTAGCCTCGTTCCACTTTGGTGTTTTTTTTTGTGGTTTAGACCTAAGAAAATTATCTTTCATGTTCTGATGGAGACATATACAAATGAATAAAATAAAGCATTTACGTTCAATTTCGTTTTTTTTTTAGTTAATGATTTCATTGAAGTGAATACTAGTTGTAATCATGATTTTATGTTATTATTGTATTTTGTTAAGATCATTTTAAACAAGCCATTTATGTGCTTTTTATGACCCCCTCCCCCCCCCCCCCCCTCACACACCCACTTTAGACACTTTATAACATATGTTTGGATTGTGAAAGTTATATTTAATATATTGTTTTTATCTTGACAGGTGAATAAATCAATCAAATTAAATAAAAAATAAATAAATGAAACTTAGATAGCATTAGAGAAGACATCCCCTCGCCCCCCCCCCCAACTTCGGGGTTCGGAACGACTGCATGCGTGTTACCAAAATGTCTGGTAAAGGGGTACTTTTCACTCACCAAAGTCTAGCTCGTACATACATAAAATTTACTTTACACACCGGACTTAGGGGCTGGTTTTAAAAGGAGGGAACACGCATATGCATACCCTAAATAACAGTGAGTGGGAGGGCCAGTGACATCCCCCGTACCAGAACTACATATTAAATGTAACTTTTTGTTTCCTTGTCGTTTAAGAGAGAGAGAGAGAGAGAGTGGGAGAGAGAGAGAGAGAGAGAGAGGTAGAGAGATAGACAGAGAGAGAGAGAGAGAGACAGAGAGACCCACAGTGAGAGTGTGTATCATCTTTTCCCAGACACCCACTCTTGACCTTCAATTTACACCAGCTCCCTATCTTTGCTACTCTTCCTCTTAACTGGTACAAGGAAGGACACTTTAATCTACTTAATCCAGTCATGTCCATCTTTAATAACATGTAGTGATGTTTAACCTTGTACATGGCACTCTAAAGCTCAATAATTAACTTTTGGTATTACCAGGGAATGGAAGGTTATATGTATACACAGAGAGGTCGCAGTTGTTTTTATTTACATTTTGGCATATCAGTATTTAAGGGGGAACTGCTAGTATTAATTATAGCATTAGTGATGATTTACAATTTTGTCAAGTGCATTATAGTGCATGTTCATGTTCATTTAAAATGCCCCTATGCTTTTCGTAAGAGCTTTGGAAATTATGTTAAAAGACACGAGACAGAATAATGACTCTATGAACATATAGATTTTTTTTTAAATAAGAGAAATTGGTATGGTTCTGCAACATCCTTTTTTTGTCGCAAATCTATCGCTTCCAGACTGTATTCACTAGTTAAACAAATTCTTAAAGGGATTTGGTTTCTTTGTCTCAGATTCTGAAACAAAATACCGGATTTAGCTCATGCTGCAATGATAATTTTAAACCTTTAAGTCAGTCAGGAACCCCAAGACTTTTACAAGCCGATCGCCTGTCTGATTAATAAGATATTTATGATTGGAAATCAAAATTTAAAAAAACGTTTTCCTAACGGTTTTTATAACACTACAGTCTATTGGGGAAAATGAGTACCGGTATGGTAAAACCGGTCACTCAAAGATTTTTTACTTTTTTGAGGCACTTCTTGATCATTTTGAAGCGCAATTTTGTTAGGGCTTAAATATTACACCATATCACAGACACTGATAACACGTAAGGCCATGCATCTCAGATTTAATATTGTTACACAATGCTTTTAATGTACAATATTATATTTGATAACTTCATATCTTCCTAAGATCTGCATATTCTAGATGGCTGTCTAAATACAATGTTGATGAAAATGTCATTATTTAATTGTCAAATTAGCACCTGAATATGTATTGTGAAGCTTATACATCTGAATTGATCATACTACTCAATCATATCAACTATTTAGTTTGTTATAAACTTACGAAGCAGTCATTCTGCCAGTATGTGCTGGGGATCCCACTTCATTTTGAAGTAATCTTATTAAAACAAGTGTTCAATCTACTTGCCAGTAGTTAATTAGCAATTTAATTAACCAGCAAAACATGTAACCAACCAATTAATCAAGCTCATCATCATTATAATTGATTATAGTTGTTAAGGCATTGTATTTGTTTGTTTTCCCCACAACTAACTGAAAAAGTTCTTACACCATGTGTTTAATAATTGGGTTAAGAAACAAAACATTGACTTTTCAAACACTTTGTTGATGTTCTGTAGTGTTGGAAAATAACAAAAAACAAAGAGAAGAAAAAAAAGGTGACATTTCAAATCCTAAAAATATTCTGGTATTGCTTACCATTCCCTTGCTATCTGAAGAGTGTTAGTTTCTATGGTGATTTAATTGTGGACATGTCTATCGAATCAAGCTTTCACAGTGTTGCGGAAGCAGTTTTACAGCTCTGTGGACGGCATCTCGGAAAATACAATAACAATTGATTTTCCAGCCACTTAAGATTTGTTAAAAAACCTCCACGCAATTAAGTGTATGCGTGGCTTGCGTAAAATCTGTTATGTGTCCGTGTGATTGATTGAGATTTCCGCCACAGGAGAGGAGTCAAGAGATATATGACTTGGGGGTGTTTCACAAAGACTAAGTAAGATCGACTTTAAGTTGGACATAACTATGGCAGGCCGTTCATGCTACTGTTTGCTCTCATCATTATGATCTTTAGATAATATTTTTTCCTTCAATAATGAATTATCAAAAAATGTAAATGCTGTAGATTAGTGACCATGATTTGTACATCCCTTCAGAGACCAACTCCAGTAAATGGTGAGAGCAGACAGTGGCTTGAACTGCTTGCCATAGTTAAGTCCAACTTAAAGTCGATCTTAGTCTTTGTGAAACACTCCCCTGGTGTTTAATATGACACCCTGTGGGTAAAACAGAGAAGAGTAACCAGGAGAAATTTCCATAAACAAAGCCCCACCATTTGATTAATTTGAGGTGATAGTCAGCAAATATTAAATTAAATAAATAAATAAAGTGGTGGGTCCTTCATATTTGTGAATCTTCTGGAAAATGTCAGACTTCTACATCCATCACAAAGGTTTCAGCCTCATATGTTCATTGTCTGTGTGGAGCTACATATGTATGAAGTACTATACCTTAACAAAGACTTTATGCCCTCGGCTCAAACCACTTGACACGATGCGGTAAACTGCGTAAAAACACCAACGTGCCAAAATATAAATCATTTGATGTGTTCAAAGAAATAGGCCTAGCAAGTAGGGGTGAAAGAGAGCAGTTGCAAAACAGACAAAAATCTCCTTTCTATAATTACTTATTTATGTATTATGAGGTGAAATGTGAAAAGAAACTCTGTGATACAGATTTAAACAATGGGTACCCGGTAGGATGCGAAAGCTAATGTGCTTAGATTAGCAAGTGTGCGCTTGTAAAAATGACGCCTGGCTGGAATGCTCCCCAGGGAGTGGAGAATGTGCATACATTGTGTGCGGGTAAGCCTGAATCCGATGACTGGGGTAATAATATATATATCTGTAAAGAGCTTTGAGAGGGCCTTCAGTCCTGAAAACCGCTACATAAGAACTAGCTATTATTAAGGAATACTATATGTCAGATTGTCCACACACAGTTTATCAAGTATTCCAGTTTCAAAGACAAAAAAAAGTGAAATCTTCTTTGATTTTCAGTGAAGATTTTAATGCTTCCTTCTTTTATTCTTTTCTTGTTTTTACAGAGTTCAGCTTTTCAGGAGAGGAGAAAACAGATGTATGATCTTGCTATTGACATTCAGACGTACAATCATAGATTAGGTCTCATCAATGAACTAGCTGTGTGTATTGAGGAGAGGATACATGCTGATGGATATACACTCTATGCTGTTACTGGAAACGGCTCAGTAAGTCAAACAACTTTACCTACCTCGGCCCTGTCTTACAAAGAGTTGTGATTGATTCAAATCAATCGCAAGTTTGCAGTCTCCTATCTGTTATATACATAGTTGCAATTGATATCAATCGCAAATAAGTTGCGATTGATATCAACTCTTTGTAAGACAGGGCCCAGTTCATAAAGTTTAGTTTTTTAAAAAGAAGGATAGTTTTAAAAGAATAGCTTTAGGAAAGTGGAGAGAAGAGAGAGAAGAATCTGCTAGTCAGGGGTGACAAAAGCTATTGGAATTGCTATTACTTGAAAGCATGTCAACAATGGTTCATGTCAGGAGTGGAAATGCACTCATCTAATACGATCACTTGATTTTGGATTGGAAATCAATGCTCAAATATAATTGAATCCATGATCAGCATAGTTTTATCCACTCCTGAAAGAGTTTCAAACCACTACTTCTTAGTGGATTCCACTCTTGTTAGGAGTGAAATCAAGTCCAAAATGAAAGCTTAATATTATGACTTCTAAAAGAGAGCATTTCCACTCCTGCGCATCAAGACAGTGAATATATCTTGCTTGTCTTTTTTGGAATTTGATATTTTGTATGTGTATTTCAAAACACCTTTTTTGTTTCTTTTACTTTGTGCCTATAACAGGAATTGTATGAATACAAGAACAATGAAAAGAGGTGAGTGATTATGAATATGTATTTATTATTTTTTTATTTCTTCTAACTATCCATTTTCTCCTTGTGATTTTACAGCAATATTTGTATTCACTTATTGCTATCAATGTAGTAAAATGAAACTTGGATATAAAAATATACATGATATATTAAAGATATATTCTGGGACCTTTCTACCCAAATAGCACAACATTTGGGCACCCCACTGTCAAATAGAAGGATCTATATCCAGGCACCTCGTTGTTCAAATAAGTATGGAGGTTATCACGCACCTCGCTGCCTGAAATCCTTTTGTTTCTAAATGTTGTGAGCAACCAATGAAGAAAGACACTTAATTATCTTTAAAATCTTATTTCCTCATGAAATACAAATCAGTTTCTACTACTTTGTTTTCCTGAAATTGACATCATTCCAAAATGATAATCTGAATATTTATTTGCGATACCCTGGTTGAAACACATGCCCTTAGCTTATGGGAAATAAGGCCTGTTTCCATCAGCTCAAGTTTGTAAAATAACCCGCTATTTTAACTATCCAGAGCAGGACAATATCTGGTCGAGAAAATATCCTGAGAAATTTAGGTCTTGTTTCCAAAATATCCTGCTATTTGCGCCCGCCTGAGCTAGTTTGTGATTAGCGTATTGGTCTGGTGAAGACGCAATTTCGACCTCCGGGATAATATCCTGAGTCTGAAAATAGCAGGTTATTTGGCAAACTCGAGCTGATGAAGTCGGGCCTTTAGAGAATCTGCATGGTAGTCCCTAGGTTAATAGACCCTGTAGTAATCAAAGCATTGCCAACCTTGCCCCACCAGCAATCGCGCATCTCAGCTCAAGTGAGTGAGTAATGATGATCTATCAGACATAATGGGAATGATGGACGGTTGGATCTGTCCGGACCTCATTGATTTACAGAGCTATCACAACAGTCTCTTGTATTTCTCGTATGTTACAATATCTGTCTTGTTGATCGGTGCCTCTTTCAAGCCTTCCCTTTGGACACCATAAGCGCCCTAGCTCAAGAACTGCTCCAGCAAAACTAATTGACCTGAATGGATTGGGCTTCATATTTTATGTATTAAACACAAAAGAACAAGTGCCCTTTGGGGCCTTTATTGCAGGTTGCCTTCCTTTTTCACCTCTAACTGCTATTCCATTACTTAAAATACAGCATTTGTCTTTTATTTTATTTTTTTAATAGGAGGGGGGACAGGTTCATGTTCTAACAGGGCTTTAATCTTCAGGCCTCCCCCTTGTATAAAACTTACCCCTGATGATAAACTTGCCATCAATATTAACTACCATTGTGACATCACTCAAGATGCCAATCAAATCTAGGTATCCATTGAAGTTAATTACCATTAATGGTATAGTTACCATCAATGGTAAGTTTTATGCACGGGGGGGGGGGGGGGGGGGGGGGGGGCTGTACGATATAGGAATGATTATGATTTATTCTCTCTTCTCCTCTGATACTCTCTCTCTCCCTCTTTACGACTGGTTTTTAAGCTGTCATCACCTCTCACTTTCTTTCATCTGTTCTTTTTTCTCTATGCTTTGTACCTTCTTTCTTCATCCTCATTCTCTCCATCTCTCTTCTGTATTTGATATGCTCTCTTCCCCCTTCTTATAACTGTCTTCTATTTTCTTTACCCTGTTAAAACATTTTTGAAAGAGTTAATACAAAAACATGATAAGCAGAGATGCATGAATTTATTTTTTGTATTATTTACATACATAATTCATATATTTTATTTATTTAATTTTCAGTTCTCAAGGTTGACAGCCTAAAGCTTCAATTTCTTTATTTTCTTTATTTAGAAAGCTATTATTCATGTATTTTTCATGAATATATCAATTTCTTATTTTTCTGTTTCTTTTGTGCATTTGAAGTATATAAAACTCCACATTCATCACCACGAATGTTCCATGATTAGGGGATGTTTATGAGGCAGCCCTGCATGTACAGCTGTGGAAATAAATCCCCTAACATTGACTGTCAATGGTACAGTTCTTGATTAGGAATTTAAAAGAAAAGTGTGCACGGAGGAAAGAGATGGCTACAAATGGGTTGCAACCTACTAGGTTATGAATCTGAAAACTCTGGATTTGTTATACATCTAATTGCAGTCAAACATAAGAGGCTGTAACCAGACTGACAAAAGTAAACTAAAGAATAATAATAACAATAATATATAATAATAATAATAATAATAATAATAATATTCCGCTTTATATAGCGCCCAATACATCAATACAACAATGTGTCTTAGCGCTTAACAGATATATTATTACCCCGGTCATCTAGAATTGCCAAGAATTGGTCAGTTTTGAGTAGGTTTGGCAGAGTGATTCAAGTATCATAGGCTGGTTCTGAATAAGTATATCTTTACCTAGATCCGGGGGGTGTTTCACAAAGATCCTAAGTTGACATTATCTCTAAATTGGACTTAACAATTATGGAAAGCCATTAGCATCCTTGAAAATATTTTGTAAAAAATATTCTATAAGGCATAAAATGTGATTCAAATCATTAATTTTTTCTATTATCTTGGGATATTTCAGGTTCTTGATGTGGAATTTATGACAAGTCTAAAATACTTGAATTTTGCTTTTGAATGTATTTCATTTTAAGGCTACAAATGGCTCTCCATAATATTTAAGTCCAACTTAAGAGTTAAGTTTGACTTAAAATCTTTGTGAAACACCCCCCAGTTAACACATGACTGTTTGCATGCGATGATGCATATTGGCAACCTGAAATGCAAAGATTAGCATTTATCAAGCAGCTGTTTCAATACATATAGGGAAGAAAATAAACTATGCTTCCACTTTCCTAGAATTATGTCCGTAAGACACACATTTTGTCATTTGTATAGGCCTTATACAGGCCCGTTTGGTTCTCGTAGGCAATTGATTAAAGAGGATTGTTTGGAAAAGCTGGCATTCATCTATATTAGGCAAAGTCTGGCAATTCCAAACAGTTCTTGTCAGATTATCTTGTCAAATTATCTGGTGTGAGTTATCTTCTTCTTCTTTTTTTCCTTTCTTTTAAACTTAAAGACTAAAATCCATATTAAAGCTAAATATTTCTCTCTCAAATAAATATCTCTTATATGTTTTGGTCATTTTCACATCCCAAAAAGTTTTTTTGAAACATTTATTTAGAAAAAGAAAAGAGGTATTTTGTTCCTTTTTATATTAAAAGATGAGTTTTGCCATAATATCATCTTGGAGCTAATCTTGAGCTCTGCTGCGGGCATCGAATGATCTTTATCTACTGGGTGCAAGCCCAAAAAATTACTTTAACAACAGATAATAACCCAGTTTGCTTCAGTTTAAGTTTATTTATTGGATTCATTTTTAGGATTCCAAAACCTCTCCTTCTATGTACATGGACTTGATCAACCTTTCAGAATCACTTCTTGCACAAAGTACTAACACATGTCTAGAACTCAATGTTATCCTTAACATTCTTCCCATCTCAATCATCAAGTCTGTTGATCCGTGGGCAGATACTGATTGGTCTGAATCTTAATGGGCATTTACAACGCAAGCAACAACCCTGGGTTTTTCTCACTTTCCTTAGTTTCGTCTGAAGTTGCTAGGCAACCAACCATAAATAGAGCAAAAAACCCATCTCGGGGAGTGATTTTTTTTTCATTGTAAATGAACACTTTCAAAACACCAGGGAATTAGTTGTTTTTTTTTGCTCATTTTACTCTCCTCACATTCATGCTATTGCCTGCAGAGCAGCAACAAGTATATGTGCACTTCTCAACAAAAACAAAACAGCATTTTTGTTTCCAGTAATGTCAATGATGATTGTTTTTCATTGTTGGGATTGTTTATGGTGTAAATGGGCCTAGCTAGTATTGCGCTATAAGAAACACCCTCTTTTGGATCAGAGCCTGGTGCTCGCGCTCTCATTAAAAACCTAGCAAGGGATGTATGTAAGACACGATGATGGATTGTAATGGCCATCCATACAGGGAGGATTTATATACAGAGATGAAGGTTTGTTCTTCTGACATTCTTCATCTAAGCAGCTTGATCTTTTCCATTGATGGTGGGCTAAGGGGCATAATGAGCATATTAACCCCCCCCCTCCTTAACATATCTTAAAATGCACAAAAATGCCCTCTTATATTTTCTTTTGTGCCAAGTTCAGATTCTATACCCAAATGGAAATATTCATCCTTTTTATATATTACTAGTATACCATTATATGGTACAGTCAAACCTGTATACAGAGACTGCCCAAGGGCCACAATAAGTGGTCTTTGTAGACAGGTTTCTTTAGTACATGTTTAAATGAGAAACCATTTTCAAGGGAAACAAAAATGTGGTCTTTGTAGACAGGCGGTCACTAGAGCAGGTTTGACCGTATGCTTCAAGAAACAGACAGTATGAGTTGTGTGCAGTGATTAGAGTGTCAATGTAATTTTTGCAAATTTATATTTAAAATCAAGACTTAGAAACCTGATTTCATTGTGACTTTCATAGGAAATAGGATGTCTCTAGGATTTAGTATCCTCGTAGTTTTTACTTGCTTTTGTTATCTTTTTAATTTTCAATTTAAAAGTTTTTTCTTTTATTTGATTCCTTTCCTAATTTTGGCTAGTTTTATCCCTTTACCAGCAGTTTCATTACCGGTATGTTGTGAATGTCTATTTTGTAAATCACAAGGAAGTACCAATTCACAGTATATGTCAATAATATTTCATTTGAAATGATGTGTTCTTTGGAATATTTGTTGATTTTTTAGTGATTCCGGTCAGCGACCTAGCTGGGCAGTGGCTAAAGGTCAGACCATCACTGGTTATGTGGCTTACTCCGGTCAAGTGGTCAATACCAAGGATCCTACAGGGGTAAGTTATCTCACCAACTTAACTTTTTTTTCTTCCAAGTTGTAATATTGAATTAAGCTTTACAGTTTTTTTATTTTTATGCCTCCGCCACCGAAGGTGGTGCCGGAGGCATCATGTTTTCGGGTTGTCCGTCCGTACGTCCGTCCGTACGTCCGTACGTCCGTCCGTACGTCCGTCCGTACGTCCGTCCCGTTTGACCGTTATCACAATATCTCAAGAACCATTTAAGATTTAAACTTAAGACTCGGGAATAGTATTTATCACCATAGGAAGACGATCTGATTAGATTTTGGAGTACGTAGGTCAAAGGTCACAGGTCACAGAGGTCAACTTATGAAATTCCTTGTATTGAGTTTGTTATCATGATATCTCAAGAACCACTAGAGATTTAAACTTCAAACTTAGTGATAGTGTGTATCACTATAGGAAAACAATCTGATTACATTTTGGAGCACGTAGGTCAAAGGTCAAGGGTCATAGAGGTCAACTTTTGAAATTCCATACATTGAGATTGTTATGATATCTCAAGAACCACTGGAGATGTAAAAACTTCAAACTTAAGGATAGTATGTATCACCATAGGAAGACGATCTGATTAGATTTTGGAGCACGTAGGTCAAAGGTCAAGGGTCACAGAGGTCAACTTATGAAATTCCATACATTGAGATCGTTATCGCGATATCTCAAGAACCACTGGAGAATTTTCACTTCAAACTTAATGATAGTATGTATCACCATATCATAATATCTCAAGAACCACTGGAGATTTAAACTTCAAACTTAATGATAGTGTGTATCACCATAGGAAGACAATCTGAGTAGATTTTGGAGCACGTAGGTCAAAGGTCAAGGGTCACAGAGGTCAACTTATGAAATTCCATACATTGAGATTGTTATCATGATATCTCAAGAACCACTGGAGATTTAAACTCCAAACTTGTTTAAATTGCTCTATGGCGGAGGCATCATTTTCGACTGCGCGCAGTCAAAATTCCATCTAGTTTTATTATTGAATGTGTATGTTTTACGTATTACCTTGATTTCCTCTTTACCTATTTATATTTTCTTTTATTTATTGATTAATTAATTTATTTGATTATACATTCATTCATTATTTATTAATTTATTTATTCAGTCATACATTCAGTCATTCATTCAGTCATTCATGCATTCATTTAGCAAATATTTTATTTTATTTTTTTGATGAATACATGTACATATATTTTGGGATATATCGTCGCTGTTTTCACGAAGTGACGGTAGTGAAAAAAAATTGCATTCACTTTGCGTTACGATTTTCCTCACTACCGTCACTTCGTGAAAACAAGGACGATATCCTAGATTTCCTCTTTATCAATTTATATTCTTTTATTTATTTATTTGATTTTACATTCATTATTTATTGATTTATTGATTAATTAATTCATTTATTCATTTATTCAGTCATACATTCAGTCATTCATTTGTCCAGTCATTCATTCAGTCATTTATTCAGTCATTTGTGCATTCATTTAGCAATTTTTTTATTTTTTTATTTTTTTATTTTTATGACTATAGTACATCTACATGTAGGTTAATGTGGATTGTTTTTTGTTTTTTAAACATTACAACAAATTGGGGTACTTTGAAGATTACCAAAAGAAGGTTTCAGAATTTCAGAATTTGGCCCTTAAAGATCCCTACATGTATAATACAGTACCAAGTTTCCAAGCAGGCTTTATATCCAACAGTTCAGAAGGCATGGTTTTAATCATAGTTCCTATTTATTTATTATGTTCATGGGTATAAAGAAAACAACATTGTTCTAGACGCTCGGTAAATAATGAATTAATTTAGAATTTCAAGAAGAAAATAGTACTCACTTGCATCAAACTGAGTAGTCAAAATATTTGATATTATTTTCTTGATAGGCTGCATAGCCCTTTAAAGATTACCAGAAGAAGAATTTCAGAAAAATGGCGCTTAAAAATGAAAACCCGAGTGAATGGGAATGGGGATGCATAAGTTATGCACAAGAATAGCTGTGCACAAAAAAAATTCATGCCAGATTACGTTACAGCAGATTGTGTGAATGGAATTCTTTACAAACACATAGTGAAATTATTTGTGGTGTTACAAAATTTGAACATGATTATTGTTTGATGTTTCAATTTGGTACTGTAGGACTGTTTTGCAAATCAACATGTATGTATCTGATGGGTAATGTAGGGAATGTTTTTTGTTATCATCCTGAGATTTAACTGGAAATTCTGAACAAAAATAATTATAATGATTATGATGATGACGATGGTGATGATCATGGTAATGATTAACAATATCAAGGTAAAAGTAGTATTAATATGTAATAATAATTATAATGATAAAATTAATGCTACAAGTAACGATATTAATGATATTACTAATAATTGTAATAGCAGTAGTGATGATGATGGTAATGTAATGATACTACTTCTAATAATAATCATAACAATGATAATGATAATGAAAATGATAATAATTATATTGATGGTAATAATGATGATATTGATATTAATAATAGTAATATTAATAATAATAATATTAATAATAATAATAATGATGATGATTATGATAAAGATATGTATGCTTCCTTGTCAGTGCATCACCAAATCACTTTTGAAGAAGAAATATACCAATTTAGATTGTGAGAATTTTTTAAATATCTCTCCAAGTACAAGTATGTGGATAAATGGATGCTAAACATTGCTTTTGTACATGTGAACTCATGCACTACTACATGTTTAGGTACAAACAGTCGTTAAATCTGAGTGTTTCTGACAATGCTTAAATTTTCCATACCCCTCTAGAGTATAGGAGAAGTGGCAATATTATTTGCGTGAAGCGTAATTTGATTTATATCTGCTTTAAGTCCATCAAGTTTCTCCTGATAGTATTTGACGGAGATGGTATGAAAGCTACTTCTGCCCTCCGACGTAATTTGATCAATGACACAAGAGAGAACATGGTTGAGTCGTATTCCCCTGGGTGAACGTAGAAACCCTCTCTCGACCTCTCTGTCGGTCATGGAATATTCCAGAAAAGGAAAGTTGGCAGATTATATCAGAGGTTGAAATTTGCTTTAATGCAGCATGCTTTTTTCTGTTGTACATGTAGTAGATGATGTATAAGAATGGGAGTGGAATGTAGGAGTAAAAAAGTATAAAGTGATATTGTATTAGAAAGGTAAAGAGGAAAGTAAAAAAAGACAACAGATGTGAATACTACTAAGTGGATGAAGATAATGAATGATTTACAGGAAATGCAACTACAATCTGCTATCAAGTAAATACAGATATATAACTTGGTCTTGTTTGAACATGTGATAAAGTGCTTATTATAAATATTTATGTATGATGTCATCCATGATTTGTATCTGAATAAAGATTTATTTCAACAACAACAACAACAAAATATTTTGAGATTCGATGCACATAACAACAAAAAAGAAGAAAAAAAAAGAAAGGTATACCATATTGATTCAAGTATAGGATACAAATTAAAAGGGGATTTGTATTAGTCACATTCTAATATTAGAATGTTCAGTGATTTCTTTCTTGTTTCTGCAAAGTGTGACACTCTCTGTGATTGAAAATCAGTAGGATTTCACCATTGAATTTAAGACATTGTTTGACTATGACTTTTAATATGACAGTTCTTTATATTTTGTGAAAAGTAAGAGTTGTATTAATGATATTTCCTTCTTTCGCTACTGCTCTAGATAGCACAGATATGAATAATGATATTTTTTGTAGTAATTTTATGGTATAATTGACTTAAAATGATATTAAATATTTGTATGTATTTGACTGAGATTATATAATTTTTGCATAGATTCCATGCCTTTACTTATATGACTTCACTTTCTCTTTTAACCAGAACGAACTTCACCCTCACGGTGTGGCAGCACAAAGCGTAACAGCCCACGCAGTCTTGGCTCTTCCAGTAATCGAACTCACAGATGAACTTTCAGGTATTTTGCTGAGTATCATTTTACTATTTTTTAACACGGTGTCATGCCACTTCATTGTTACTAGATCATTAATATGATAGTTTGCTTTGTGCCCTATTTAATAAAGAAAATGAACCTATTTTGACCCATTCAGTACTAATTGCACTTCATTTAAAACACATATCACCGCTTGTTCGTCAAAAGAGAAATATTCAAAATCGTTTGTTTTAATATCTCTTATTTGTTATCATGCTCTTACATTTGTACCCTATATCACTCATTTTATTGTTTTCTATGTTCCTAAAGTATTTCCTTATTTGTCACATAAAAATTACATGTAAACTGAAAATTAGGGTATCACAGACAGAGGAGACAGAAAGGTTGAGACCCTAACGGTAAGATAAAGTAGTGTAGGGAATAACTTGTTAATTAGAGTTACAGAAGATAAAGAAAGTACACACGAAAAGATAGAACAAGAGATACCAGGCAAGAAGAAAGAGAGAAATGGAGAGAGAGAGAGAGGGTGAGAGATAGAGAGAGTAAGATGGAAAATAGAAAGAGAGGGACATTAATAGAGAGGAAAGAGTAAGGGGAGATACATTACAAGAGAAAAAGTGAAATTTAAAAAAGAGGAATTGAGAGTACCAGTAACAGATTAATGAACTGAATAGGTTTACTTTACATTGAACAAAACTTGAAGTATTACATGCTTTAGTCCATCTAGAACAATGATTTAGGAATGATTTAGAAATGTGCCATGGTGAAACCCTTGTGACTTTTTTCAAAGTATTTGTTCTTCTTTCACTCATTTTGTACTCAGGTATAGCACTTCCCAAGTATGTTTCTCTCTATTTAATATTTATGTAATCACAAATCAAATAATCACACACAAAACATTGAAACACATAAAAATACATTATTAAAACAGTATTACGCAATCAAATAAAAAGAAGGTTGCGTTCTGGTAATGGCAAAAAATCTTTTGTGAGCTTTTTTATTCATTTTGGTTAACTTTTCCCAATTGCTTCCACACAGTTTCTTGTACAATGCAATAGCATGACCACAGCCTTGTCTTATAAAGGGTTGATATCGATCGCAACTTATTTGTGATTGATATCAATCACAATTATGTACATAAGAGATAGGAGACTGCAAACTTGTGATTGATTGGGGAACTTGCGCCTGATTTGGATCAATCACAGTTCTTTATAAGACAGGGCCCAGAACTCAATTTTATCTTCAAGCTTTAATACATAAAGATTGAGACGAAATGCTTGGTATCCAATTTGTTTAATGTCCTTTGGCAAGACATTGATCTACATTTGCCACACTCCACCCAGGTGAAGTAAATGGGTACCTGGTAGGAATTTATTCCTTGAAATGCTAGAGCAGCCATGCTAAAGCCAGGGTACTAATCGGGAGCGCCAGGAGGGTCAAATCTGACTGACATGAGCGCTATACAAGAACCCACTATTATTATTATTATTCATTAGTCGATCACTCTCTTGTTTTTCATGATTTGTTCCCTTTTTTGTGAACTTTTTTTGCACCCTAAGGATCCGATTGTGAAGACCATGACCAATTGGCGGGTATGCACTGTATTCATTGTTTGTGACAAAGACCCCATTCATATGCACGCTTTGGCTCGATCTAGACCGATCTAGACCGATCTGGCTTGATGTAAGGCCTTGCTTTACACTGCAGATGTCTTATCTCATGTATTGCAAGAACATATAGTTACAAGTAGCTGCTAATTAAGACCCAGCTCATATTGCCATGTTGTTTTCATAAATCTGATTGTCAGAATTGGAGTAGTAAATGTATGTTCCATAAATATCATTATTGTGTCCACCAAAGCAGGCCATAATGTGCCTGCCTGAACATTGAAGTGGGAAAAGAGTTCATAGTGGTCATGGTAATCCACTCAATTTGTCTGGATCGAACCCAGAATATTCTTGTGATATGAAAGGGGTCTCCTGTATAGTATATGTTTTATAAACCGTTTTTTAAATTTATTTATTCAATGTATTATTCATTATATTTGTTTGTTCAATGTGGTTAAGACTCATATGTAGATTTGCTATAGACTAGATGCACTGACAGGTCTTCTTTTTTATAATTACTTTCATATAGAGTGGATCTATTGCTATGAGATATTATTAGAAACTAATCAATTTGAACTTATAGATCCTTATTAAAGCGAGAGTGTTTTTACTGCATGAATGCTGACATATTTACAAGCTTTGCTTGGATGTGTATGCATGTCAATGCTACGACAATTACAACTGTTATGACTACTACTACTACTACTACTACTACCACTACCAACATTACTACCACCACCAACGTTACTACCACTACTACGACCACTACTACTACTGCTGAAACTACTGTTACTACTATTACTTCTACTCCTCCTCCTTCATTAACCACCACTACTTCTACTACTGCTACTTTTACTACTACTACTACTACTACTACTTCTACTTCTACTACTACTTCTACTACAACTACTACATGACTACTACTACATGTAATTCTACTACATGTACTTCTACTACTACTACTACTACTACTACTACTACTACTACTACTACAACTACTACTACTACAACAACAACTACTACTACATTCCTACTACTACATGTACTTCTACTACTAATACTACTACTACTACTACTACTACTGCAATGAACTACTACTACTTCTACAACTACTACTACCGCCACTACTACTACCACTACTACTACTAATAATAATACTTCTACTACTACTGCAATGAACTACTTCTACTTTTACTACTACTACTACTACTACTACTACTCCTACTTCTACTACAACTACTACTAATAATACTTCTACTACTACTACTTCTACTACTACTACTATTACTACTACAACTACGACTACTACTACTTATACTTCTTCTACAACTAACCAAATTTTACTTTATAGATCCTTATTACAGCAAGAGTGTTTTTACTGCATGGAGGCTGACATATTCACAAGCTTCGCTTCGATGTATGCATGTCAATGCTATATATGACAACTACGACTATTACGACTACTACGGTACTCACAAAACTCATGTAAACACGATATATGTAGTAGATACACTACTACTACCACCACCACCACCACCACCACCACCACTGCTCCTTTTACTTCTACTACTACTACTACAACTACGACTAAAATACAATGTACTACTATATGTATGACCACCATTACTAGCACTACTACTATTATTGCTGCTGCTACTGCTACTAATATGACTACTACTTTTAAATCTTCTACTACTCCTACTACCAATTCCCCTACTACTGCTACTACTTCTACTACAACTGATACTCCTACTTCTACTACTTCTGCATCAACAAACAAATCTTTTTTTCACTCTGGCAAAGAATAATCAAGGCATTCGTTTCTGTTTCACTTCTTCACAGGAGTGTTGGAGTTCTATCGGACTGAAGCCAAGGCATTCTCTACTGAAGATGAGATGGTGAGCGATAAGTTTCTTTAGATGAATATTCCCATACATGTATGGTATTGTTATAAGTAGGCATCTGGTAGGATGAGTGAAATACTTTCTAGTGGTGTGGAGATGGTGCACTCTACATGACTTGGATAAATAAACAAAATTAATAATAATAGGCATTTATATAGCGCCGTCTATCTAGACAAATCTATTCCGAGGCGCACAAATTAATTATTACCCCGGCTTTAGCCTAGCTGCCATTACGGCGCTCTAGCATTTCAAGGAATAAATTCCTGCCAGGTACCCATTTACCTCACCTGGGTCAAGTGTGGCAAATGTAGATTAATGCCTTGCCAAAGATCATTAGTGCCGTGCCGGGGATCGAACCTCGTCCTTTGAATTTCAAGTCAAGTGCTTAAACCACTCAACTACGACACTTCTACATAGGAACAATTATATGTATAGGGCATAGAAGTATACTATAGTATAAACTGCTATTATTTGAAAATAATGTATATATTATTGTTATTATTATTCTCTTTAAATACCTTTAAATACTTTAAATTCATCTATTTTCATTTTCAGCATGCTGACTCTTACTTATTATGGGGCACACTTACAGTGCATTATGCTCAGGTAAGTTAACAATTCACAAATGCACTGACTATACATATGTTTCATTATCTTAGCCACACATTTCATTCTTTGCAGAGCCCTGTAATGTTGTCTCATAAAGTTATAGATTAGGCCAACTATATACCACAGAAAAAGGGGCTTTCCCACTTTGTATTATTTTGCTGTATTTGGCTAGCTATTATCATTTGTGTACAAACATTATAGTTACTTTAAGTTTTACATGTAGTTATAGACATACAGAGAGTAGTTCTAATATTATCACTGGTAATTAGTATATTTACATTACGAGTCTTGGGGGGGGGGGGCTTTGTATTCATATATTTTCCAATCATGATACAATTCATTTGTATTTTCAAACCTTGTTCGACAAATCTGAATATGTTCTTTACATATATGCTATGTTTGATATATATTTGTGAATTAAAGACCGTCAAAACTACTGGGCCAGAAGGGATTAGATAACCCAGCCAGTTCACTGACAGGTGGCTATCCCATTAACTCAGCTCTCAATTAACATAAGAAAAAGAGGATCATGGGGGACCAACAGGCACCGATTGGGGAAGTTTTCTATATAGAGGGAGCAAGTAGCTACATGAATAAATAGCATTGTATGTGATTGCACATCTACTTTTTGTGTAAATTGACGCTCAAAAATGTAGTTTATGCATATGTTTGCTAGTGTACACAACGTACAATGTTTTTTGCAATTGTACTGCTTTTGTGCATTTACACAGTTCTGCAACATTAAATATTTTCACAACTTGTACATATTATGATTTGACTAGTCCCATCAATGCATGTACTTGTTTGTCTTTGGTCTGCACCGCTTCATGTTTTCACTATTTGACTTGTATGTATATGGCTCGCTGTCTTCATGTGCTTGTGCTTCGACGATTGCAGTTTGGGAATGACAAGGACTTTGATAAAAAGGTTTGTGAAAAAAGTGAATTGAATCAAAGAAATACAGTGAAACCTATGTATCTAGACTGCTCAAGAAAGGCATGAAAACTGGTCCTTACAGGCAGGTGGTCATTATGTACAGGTTCCTTTAGTACAGGTTTCAATGAGAACCAATTTTGGAGGGATATGACAAATGTGGTCTTTATAGGCAGGTAGTCTTCCTACACAGGTGGTCGCTACAGTGGGTTTGACTGTTTCTTTATTTCATAGGGAGAAACATGAAAGTAATTAAATGAGATGAAAAGTACTTGTGTATCATCACATTTAAGATTTTCTTGTTTGTTACAAAAATCTAATCTTAGAACTGGCCAAACATCTTGATAATTTAAACTTCGATATAAGTTTAGCATTGAGAACAAAAGCCTTTGAAAATTACATACGTGTAGGTAAATTTCTGGAGTATATTGGCTATCAATTATTTCTGTTGATCTGAAAGCACTTGTCTATCAACTGTAAATTGTCTTGCAAACCTAATATGGTAATAAAACACATGTGTCACCTATTCTGTTAAAGGGAAATCCAACCCAAATAGACAACTACTCTAAAAGAAAGCAGATAAATCAGAGAAGCAAACTGATGAAAGTTTCAATTAAATCAGACTAAATAAAGGAAAGTTGTAATCGCTATACGTATGGGCACTTCTTTTATTGGTTTGATATTTATCAAATAACACTCTTTGTAATAACCAATATGTTGTTACTCTTTCCTCTATGTAGCTGTATGTAGACATGATCAGACAGCGGAAACAGAATGACTTCCTGCTAGCAGTGACAAAGTGAGTCTATACTTCTGGAATCAAATTTGTTTTTCTTTCTTTCTTTATGTTATACATCCCTTATTACCACCATTAAAATACCAGTTGGCCTTCCCTGTCTTTGTGCTCCTCTTTTACCTCTACTAAGTCCTTGTATTTTATGTCTTAACACACTTTTAACAGTTCTTACCTTGGTTCCTCTGCCTTCTGATGTTACCCCTGGGGGGGGGGGGGGGTGTTTCACAAAGATCCGAAGTTGAACTTATCTCTAAGTTGTACTTAACAATTATGGAAAGCCGTTAGCATCTTTGAAAATGTTTTGTAAAAGTTATTAATATTTTCTATTATCAAGGAGATTTCATGTTCTTGATGTGGAATTATACATGATGTGTCAAATATACTTAAATGTCTGCTTTTGACTATATTTCATTTTAAAAAATGGCTCTCCATAATTTTTAAATCCAACTTAGAGTTAAGATCCACTTCGGATCTTTGTGAACACCCCCAGTTGTTACACCTACCCTCTGATCTACTCCTGTATTGTCAGATCAGTGGCATAGCAGGGGTCCAGCCATTCAGGGAGAGGTGAGGGGGGGGGGGGGGCACTGGTGTCCTGTTTGGAAGGTAGATGGAATTTTGATGAGCAAGGGTACAGATTAGGGAGGGTGTTGCCATTAATTGGTCCTGTCTCCCCCTCTCCCTCTCCCTCTTTCTCTCTCTCTCTCTCTCACACACACACACACACACACACACACACTCACACACTGTTCGTCTTTTTCTACTTTTCTTTCTTTCTCTGTCTTCCCTCTCACTTTCTCTCTCTCTCTCTCTCTCTCTATGTCTGTCTTTCCCCTATCTTTCTTTGTCTGTCTTCCTTCTCCCCCTCTCTCTCTCTCTCTCTCTCTCTCTCTCTCTTTTTCTCCCATATTCTCTGTCTTGTCTTCCATCTCCCTTTTTTGTCTTTCTTTTCTATCTCCTCCTTTGCCACTGTATATTACCCCCACCACACTCCTTCAACAAAACATCTCCCGTATCCTCCAGTGCCATTTACATAAGTTCACCTCCATTCATCTAATTCTTACCTCAGTACTTCCTGCCTCATTACAAGTCCCAGAAATTGAAGCTCCTATTTCCTCTTCATCCTCTTCAGAAACCTATTAAAAACCAGCTCCATCATCAACATCTTTATTTCCATCTATACTCTTCCACCATGTCTTTAACCCTTTGCTTATGACAACTAGGTGGATCCTGTATTAAGCTTATGGCAGTGGGAGATTTCAGTAGTCAGAGGATTAACATCTACAGGACTATATTCCCTTAAGCATCTTACCTTTTGGTCATTGATACCTCGTTCTTTTCATCCCGAAAGATTACCACTAATGGTGAAAAGAAATACACCAGGTATCTCCTTTCTATTAGTCTCAAAATTTCTGAGAAAGGCAAGTGTGATGGCAAGAATGAGAAAGGGGCAGTGGTTTACCACAGGGAGGTAATTTGACACCTGTTCTATTCTCTCTGTAACAAACTGGAAAGTTCTCTGCTCTTTTGTGTGTTCTCTATATTGTTATACAAACAAGAAATATGATAAAACAATACAAGCATAAATCTTAATGAGCAAAGGTGAAAAGTTGGATGAGAGAAAAAAATCTATATACCTTCTCAATTTTGGTTTCACGGATGTTAATTTCACAGATGTAAAGCAATCTGTAATGTTTTTGGTATAGAAAGTATATTTGCAACTGTATAGCTATACATGTCTAGTATGGTTGTAAAAGTCAATGTGTACAGCATGTTGAACAAGTCATTTGTACAATATTACTATGTTGTTGTTTTTTCACATTATTTTACAGATCCATCTTCACAGATATTGTCAGTATGGACAGTGTGATCATGAAGATCATGGTAAGTGAGCTCAAATCATGATGAATCCCTTATCACCTATATCAATAAAGGACTGTAACCTGGGGAGTGTTTCATAAATCTTGTTATAAAAAAACAAGCTACATTAACTGTTATAGGCTTCTGAAATCATGGCATTTGATTGGCTGGGAGCAAATTTGTCATAGATATTTAGCATTAACTTTTTATAACCAGTTTTATGAAAACAGGGCCCAGGGCTGCCACCACAGTTCCTTAGTTTTGGTGGCATCCCCCTCCCCTATATCTTTAGGCAATAATCATGTGCATTTGCATGCATGTACATATATATGTCCACAGACTTTTCCTGAAACAAGCTCTCTGTGTTCCAAAATGCTGACTAAGTTGATAACCCCTAACCTATAGGGGTTCTATTACTCTGCAATAATGGCCTCACATAAACACATACAGTACACAAACATGTGCTCTGTACAGTGTGTATGCCTCTGTGATAATGCCTCTAATTATCAGATTGGAAAACCTGTTTAGACAACTTTTAGGCAAAGTTTTCTTCTTTTCAACTTGCCAATATGATCTTTAGCAGCCAATGAAAATGTTCTTGTATTGAATATTCCCTAACAAAGATGGACATGGCTCTTGGTTTTAATTTTGTTTTTGTATTTTCCTCTCGAAATATAGAACTTTGCTCAGAAGTTGGTGAATGCTGACAGGGCTTCACTGTTCCTGGTTGATAGCAAGAAGAACGAGCTTTATGCCAGGATCTTTGACATTGGTAATGGCCTTGGTAATCCCATGGTGGACAAAGACCAAAAGGAGATCAGGTGAGAATCATAAAAAAACAATAATAATATTTGGTTCTCGTATAGCGCATAACACATTATATAACGTCTCTATGCGCTTCCATTGAGCTTTGGAAATTATTACCCCGGCTTTTAACATGGTTGCCATTACGGCCCTCTGGCATTTCAAGGAATTAATCCCACCAGGTATCCATTTACCTCATCTGGGTCGAGTGTGGCAAATGTAGATTAATATCTTGCCAAAGGACATTAGTGCCATGGCGGGACTTGAACCGCGGACCTTATGAACTACAGTCCGGTGACATATCCACTCGACCACGACACCTCTACTTTAATGTGCTGTAATGTCCATGTTTATTGCAGGTTTTCGATGGCTAAGGGAGTAGCAGGACATGTGGCATCCACAGGAGACATTCTCAACATCCCTGATGCATATCAAGATGAGAGATTTAACAGGTACAGTATTAGGAGAATAATCGTCACAACCATTATAATGGTAATGATAATGATAGTAACGTTGGTAAATACTAATCCTGTTTACATGAAGTACTGATACTTGTAGTCATTGCATAGTATTCGTACACCTGTAAATTTAAATGTACTTTAATTGGCAAGATTTGGATAAAGGCTATTTTAATTACTATGCAATTACCCCAAAACAGGCCTATTAAACTGTACTGTCATTTTATTTGCTACAGTATATGCATCAATATGCATACTTGTTCATTGTCCCTTTTATAACAATTTGTCTTACCGGTATGTACTAACTGATACAAACAAATGTGATTGAGTACCAAAGCTCTGTAGTTGCTCATAAAGAGAAAATACAAAGAATTAAAAACTAAATCATGGAAGAGTTTCATGAGGATGGTTGTAATACTGGTTTGAAAGTTCTGTTTGTCTGACGTATACGACATAGTTATCACTAAAACTACAGCTACTGGCGATCAGAAAATTGGCGGCATACTTCAGTCTGCCTATTTGTGTTAGAGGAAGATGTCTGAACTTTGGAAATCAAAACTGTTACAAGCAACTTTACTTTTGAATGTGATATAAGAACTTTCAAGCTAAGAATTAAAAGCATTTTCTCATTTTGTTTTCTTGACCAATGACAGAGAGGTTGACCTGCAAACTGGATATGTCACCAAGACCATCTTGTGTATGCCTATCTACATCAGAGGAAAGTGAGTAGACACAAAGAATGTTTTTTGTTTGTAGGGTTATTTTACCTGACTGCTAAGAAAGCATGTGTCTGCTTGTAAGTTAGCAACCAGGGGACCGACAGCTTTATGCTCTTCTGCGAGGGACTTGGTAATGAGGATTAATGCTTTACAAAGGGTAATTAATGGCGGATCTTGGCTTTTTGAGCATCCAAGATCATGAATACCCTGTTCCTACAACAACTTGCATGCATGCTCTTTCTTGTTTTCAATGACAAGATCAAGCACGCAGTCTTTATTTGCTGTGTGGAATCCAAATTTGTTTTCTGTAAAATGATTGAAACTCCTCCAAGGAAGCCTAACATTCTCAGCTGTTGTCCTAATGGCGGACTGATAAACATTAATAAGCCAGAATGAGTCTTGAGAGCTGAGGTATTTGTTTCTAGTTCATCATGACTGTGCCATAGAACAGCGATGGCCTGGTGATAGAGTCGCTGCCCGGCAAGCAGTACTGTAGATGGCTGGTTTAGACCTCCCTGGTTCCCACAACAAAAATCAACTTGTTTTCAATTACAAGATCGAGCACGCTGTTTTTATTTGTTGGGTGCAAGCCCCTCCCCCCCCAAAAAAAAATTCTTACAACAATTGTAGCTCAAAGGTTTGATAGTTAGTATCTCAATAAAATCCCCTGTGAAATTGATGTTGTCGGTACGTTTGATCTGCCTTGCAGATAAAATCTATGATCGAGCTGTGTCATCTACATTATTCATTTATAAAGTCTTCTGCTTCTGGAGGCAAAATTAATATTCGAGGGGGATTACATTTAACTGCTACATACTGGACCTTCCTGTTAATGGCAGGGATATTTTTGCCGAAAAATTGATGTGCTACATGTATATGAAATGGGCATGTTTCTTCTGAGGGTAAAATTGATATTCAAGGGACATTACATTTAATTGCTGTTTTCATAGATTCAATGTGCTATATGAAATAGGCATGTTGCTTCCGAAGGCAAAATTGATGTTCAAGGGGAGTTACATTGAATTGCTATGTACTGGACCTTCCTGTTTAATAATGGGAGCGATATTTGTTTGCAAAAGATTCAATGTACTATATGAAATGGGTATGTTGGAACAAAATTGAACTATATATGTTCACATTGCAGCAGATTTTGTTCATTATGGTAAACAAAAGCATGTAAGAAAGAAAGATTCTGCCATGTGTGAATACACTGGATAACACCTCCCTAAACCAATTCTTTGTCTTGGCAGTGTGATAGGTGTTGTTCAGATGGTAAACTGAAAGCATGTAAGAAAGAAAGATTCTGCTATGTGTGAACACACTGAATAACACCTCCCTAAACCAATTCTTTGTCTCGGCAGTGTGAAAGGTGTTGTTCAGATGGTAAACAAAAGCATGTAAGAAACAAAATGCCATGTGTGAACACACTGAATAACACCTCCCTAAACCAATTCTTTGCCTTTGCAGTGTGATAGGTGTTGTTCAGATGGTAAACAAAAGCATGTAAGAAAGAAAGATTCTGCTATGTGTGAACACACTGAATAACACCTCCCCAAACCAATTCTTTGCCTTTGCAGTGTGATAGGTGTTGTTCAGATGGTAAACAAAAGCATATAAGAAAGAAAGATTCTGCCATGTGTGAATACACTGAATAACACCTCCCTAAACCAATTCTTTGTCTTTGCAGTGTGATAGGTGTAGTTCAGATGGTAAACAAGAAGCATGGTCTGTTCACACGAGCGGATGAACAAGCATTTGAAACGTTTGCAGTCTACTGTGGTCTGGCATTGCATCATGCAAAGGTTAGTGTTGTAAAAGGATTCATATGCAGTGCATATTTTTGATATGAAGTTACAAAACATAATTTTAGAATTACGATTAAATATGAACATGACCAATTGATGAAAATGGCACAATGATTCATATAGAGGGTCTACAGTGCATATTTTGGATATTAAGTTGCAAACATAATTTTAGAATTATGATTAAATATGAACATGACCAATTGATGAAAATGGCATAATGAAATTATAAACTCTAGACTTGTATACAAAGGAATCTGTATATGTATATGTTTGTACAAAAATATAGTGAATTATGAAATTGATAGATGGTTGATACGAGACATGCCAGTACACGGACTGTACAATGTATACTACATGATCGTCTACATGTACCGTGCATGATTAATTAGCAGTTGGGCATTAAAACAAAAAAGCTGCCAACTTCTAGTTTGTCATACTAGTGATGTACATGTATACAGATGTTTTTACCTACGTATTGAGGGGTCAGTGACACAAAGACATAACTTCATTTTGGTCATTTTGAGAAAAAGTGGTTTATGTGTCACTGAGCACTTTGGCCTTAAGAAGTTAACTAGCCATCGACTTCAATTGGGTGTTGGGTGGAGTTAAGTCTATGTGTTTTCTGGAAAGCCCACATTTTTCTTAACATTTTGATATCAAATACTCATTTTGGCAAAATATGGAGTTATGTCTTTGTGTCACTGAACCCTCAATATATGACTTCAGTAGATGTAAACATACTATGATTTTATATGTTTGTAATTTTGATTAACTTTTAAAAGATTATGTTAGAATTTCTTTACTTCAATCAATATGTTGGCTGCTCAGCTAAATGACACACCTGATGAACAGCCTATAATTATATTGACAACAATATAAATAATATACAGTAAGCTTGCGGGTGCACCATGTGAGAGAGAGGGAGGATTGAGGAGTCCTGAAAAGTACTCTCGGTAATCTTTCTTGAGGGTGTGTAGTCCTGAAAAGGAATGTTGGTGTAGTATATAAATAATGTATAATTTTTCTTATCTTAGGTAGATATGAAAATACATGAATATAATCTGTTTTTGTTGTTAAAATAAGAGTGATGATAATGACACTGACTAGGATCAATATGAAATTGTGAATCTGACTTTGATTAAGGCAGGCTGAATCCAGTACATATTCATATTTAAAAAGAATAAGTAATTTGATAACATTGAAATAGCCATCACCAACGGTTATTTCATACATTCCTAGTATATTTTTATACTCATCAGTGTTATTATACAATAAGAAGTTTAAAAAAAAAAACTCATTATTTGATACAAAATTAAAACTACATGTTCCTTGTTTTTTAAGTGTTCCAAGATTGGATTGTAACCATAGTAGACATATTCTGTATATTATACAGTATATGTCATTTAAAAGAAAGTTATTACTAGCCCCTGTAGGTTTTAAAAACTGTTAATTGTCTTTCTATGCCAATAAAAATGGAAACAGTAAATTAAATATTACAGTTTATTTTACACCTCTTTAGTAGATGTAAACCAATTCAAGGAATTATATTTAAGCAGTAAATCGTATATCTTTTCAAAATGAACAAATCTTTGTTCATTATTTGCATTGTGCCCAAGTGAGAGGTTTTTTTTACTCTCATTAAGCTGAAATAATGTAAAGGTAAACTTTGATAATGTGTAAAAAAGGGTAGTGAATTTCATCTTGACTGTTTTTGCAAATGAAAATAATGGCGAACAGACATTTCATTTCACACTTTTTTTTTACCTATATAATGATCAAAGATTCATTCATTTTACTGCTAAAATATAATCCCTTGAATTTGTTTATATATACTTAGAAGTGTAAAATATATTGCAATATTTCATTTACTTTTTCCATTTTTATTCAGATATCAATAAATAATTTTTAAACTGTATCACTGTAGTGATAGAAATACAGGTGTACTATGAAATTCAATGAATTTAGTTTGAGTTATGCTGTCTACCCATAAAAAATTAAAAATACCTTGCATTCTCCTTCTATTTCAGTTGTACGACAAGATCCGTCGGTCAGAACAGAAGCACAAGGTAGCTCTGGAAGTATTGAGCTATCATGCTATGTGTGTGGATAATGAGTTCAAGGGGCTCAGGAACATGCCTCTTCCAGACCCTATGCCTGACATAGCAAGGTAAACTAAAACCCTTCTGGGCCCCGACTCATAAAGAATTGATATCAATCGTACTATGTACATAAGAGATAGGAGACTGCAAACTTGCAAACTTGCGATTGATTGGAAGAGTTACGATTGATTTGAATTAATCGTAACTCTTTGTAAGACGGTGCCCTCTTGCCACAGGCACCTCAAAGCACCATAAATTTTGATGTGTATGTATCTGTAGTACATGCACCTACCATACCTCACATTTAATGTATTGGCTTGTATTAGACTGATATGATGAGTTGAAGGACCACTTTATAATGCATTTTAGCCAATTATGGCTTACTGTTTAATACAACTCGAATGAAACACAATATTAATGTGCAGGCTAGGAGTGAACCCTTAACTTCTAAATTCAAGGCCAAGTTAATAAACCACTAGTCCACATCACTTTGACAAATCATTGATAACGATATACATTTACATATCTATGTTTAATGTACCTTTCATGTAGTAATAATTATAATAATAATATTCAGTTTTTTTATAGCGCATAATACGTTATGAAATAACATCTCTATGCACTTCCAAAGAGATTTGGAAATTATTACCCTAGCTTTAGCTCCAGCAGCCGTTATCAGCGCACAGTGCATTTCAAGGAATTATCCTACCAGGTACCCATTTACCTCACCTGGGTTGAGTGTAGCAAAGGTAGATTAATGTCTAATGTAACGCACATGATGTTCAGGTACATGTACATGTATCTTATTTCTCTCCTTTTCTTTGTTCGATTCCTCAGATATGACTTCTCACCTTGGGGTCTGGATGAAGAAGCCAAACCTCTCTATGTTCTGTGTATGTTCAAGGACATGTTTGAACTTAACAAGTGAGTCGTCACCACCATCTTGATTGTCTTTTCATCATCGTAAGACACCACCAACAACAACACCATCACTATAGAACATCTATTCCTCTCACCATCTTAAAGGAGCCAAAGCACTAAAAAGCGGACCTATTTTTGCAATATATTTGCTGAAAATTAATTTTCATTTTTGTCTTCTTTCACTATGTCTTATGACTTGGATCCAATGTCACTGCTGAAGATGTCACAGCTAAATGTATATCCACACTCTTTCAAAACATAGGATTTGTGAATACCTAGAATTGCCATTATGTAGTTCTTATATTCAAACTTGATGAATCTATTGGTAGTGAGGCTTTTTCTTCTGACAGATGTCTTGAGGAATCTCATTTTCCCACCTTTTTAGATAGATCATCATTCTCCTGGTACTAAAGAGTATTACAGATGGTTATCTGCTACATGTAGGTGCAGACTTTAAATTCATATTCCTTTTTTAACTCTTAACTAGTTGAATCATTGTCTTAGAAATTAGAAATATCACTCAGACTAAAACGCACACATCAGATGTGGGTCCCACCTGAGTAACTGTTTTAAGTTTTAAGTTGTCTGTTTTGAGAATAGAAAATAACAAATATATGTACCTTCTTATCTCAACATTCATTGTGTTCAATTGCAATCACTCTTTTAAATGCATAGTACATCTTTTATTTTTTCAATGCCGCTACCTTTAAATCATTTTGTTAGCATCTTATCTTGATTTTCATTTATTCGCCATCGCTCCTTTGTCTTAATGTTATTATATACGATTTCTCTTTTAACCTATATTTCTGTCACCTTCATTAAACTTACATGTGTCTTCCATCTCATGAACTTCATCTGTTCCATTCGCCATGAGTACTTTATCTTACGTGTACTTATACATCTTTTCTATTCTCAATCACTCCTTTAGCTTATCTTCAAATTGTGAATTGAATATGAAAACTTATACAGAATCACTTAATTCTCATATTCCTCCTTTTTATTTTAAGTTTAATGTTCTTATTCACCATAACTTCTTAACATATGTATCATCTTACCTTAAATTGCAACTCAAAATTCACCATCTTTATTCACCATCACACTTTTATCTTGGATCCATTTGACTCACCACCACTGCAGAAATTTATCTTCTACTTCTTCTCATTCATTAACCACCGTTCTCTGTAACTTACTTACCTTTCATCGAATTCAAAATTGCATCTTTTTTCCAGTTCACTATCACTCCTTCTATCTATCTTACCTCTTTTTCATCCACTATCACTCCTTTCACTTGCATGTGTCGCTCATGTTATCTTCTATTTCATCTCTTCCATTCACCAACACTCTTCTCAGTTACCTTCCACTTAATCTTATCTTGCATCTGGTTCATTCACTGTTACTCTTTTTTACTTATCTTCCACTTAATCTAGACATGCATCTTGTCCATTTAGCATCACTCTTTTTACTTATCTTTGCCTCAATCTTGACTTGGATCTGGTTTATTTACCACCACTCTTTTTACTTATCTTCCACTTATTCTTATAATAATAATACATTACATTTATAATGCTCCTAATACAATGTTTCTAAGCGCAAGAGAAAGAAGAAAGAATAAGGAAGGAAAAGGGAGAAATACTAAAGGAACATGTTAAAAACATTGAATTACAAGTAAACGGCAAAGAAGAATATGACATTACATTACACAAAATAAGGACTGCATTGAAATTGATTGCATCTTGTTCATTCACCCTCACTCTTCTCACTTGTCTTTCACTTAATGATATCTGGCATCTTGTTCATTCACTGTCAATCTTCTTACTTAAATTCCACTTTTGACTTGCATCTTCTTTATTTACCATCACTCCTCTAACTTATCTTCCTTTGAATCGTATCTTGCATCTTCTTCATTCACCATCACTCTTTTCACTTATCTTCCACTTAATCTTGACTTGCAACTTCTTTATTTACCATCACTCTTCTTACCAATCTTCAACTTAATCTTGACTTGCATCTTCTGTATTTACCGTCACTCTTTTTACTTATATCCACTTAATCTTGACTTGCGTATTCTTTGTTTACCATTACTCTTTTTACTTATCTTCTACTTAATCTTATCTTGCATCATCTTCATTTACCATCTCTCTTATCTTTCGCTTAATCTTATCTCGCATCTTCTTCATTTACCATCACTCTTTTTACTTATCTTCTACTTAATCTTGACTCGCATCTTCTTCATTTACCATCTCTCTTCTTACTTATCTTTCACTTGATCTTATCTCGCATCTTCTTCATTTACCATCACGCTTTTTACTTATCTTCCACTTTATCTTGACTCGCATCTTCTTCATTTACCATCACTCTTTTTACTTATCTTCTACTTAATCTTGACTTGCATCTTCTTCATTTACCATCTCTCTTCTTACTTATCTTTCACTTAATCTTATCTCGCATCTTCTTCATTTACCATCCCTCTTTTTACTTATCTTCTACTTAATCTTGACTTGCAAGTTATTCATTCACCATCACTCTTCTTACTTATCTGCCACTTAGTCTTGACTTGCATTTTATTTATCCACTGTCACTCTTCTTCACTTATCTCTCACTTAATGTTATCTGGCATCTTGTTCATTCACCATCAATCTTTTTACTCTTATTCCCCTCAATTTTATTTTGCATCTGGTTTATTTACCATCACCTTTTACTTTTCTATCACTTAATCTTATCTTGCAACTGATTCATTCACCGTCACTCTTTTTGCTTATCTTCCACTTACTAATCTTGGCTTGCATCTTGTTCACTCACCATCACTCTTGTTCTCATTGGTATTGAACACAGTCCACCACCCGGCCATCCTGACCATCAACAAAGGTATTCAACCAGAGAAGTAGAAGAAATTCAATCTTCAAAACCCTCTTTTTTTGCAGTTTGTGTGGTTTTAGAAAAATTACCTCATTTTGATTTCACTTGTCAGAGACCTGTAAGCTTTATAATTTTTCAAAATGTAGCAGGAATATTAAGTAAACTCAGAAAGGGAATTCAGCAGGAATTCAGCTCATGTACAATTTAAATGATAATATGAAAAGTAGTTAACCCCTGGTATTACTTTTGGAGATAGATAATTGGCAGTCTAATCTTTCATGAAATAAAAACCTTGTTCTTAATGCAGCAGATAGTACAGATGCATGTTTACTACACACAATGTTGCATTTTTTAAAATTAAGATTTTTTTTTTTTTTTTTTTTTTTTTTGGGGGGGGGGGGGGTAAAATAGGAAAAACAATAGCATGGTCTTTAAGCATAATAGAATGATTTACTTTTAGATTAAATATCTTTACCTGGCTTATTTCTAATCATATTTTCGTGAGCCCCTTAATTAACAATGTTCACAGGCAGGTTAAAATATAGCTAATTGCCTTGAAGAATCAGGTCTCTGAAATTTTGCAATATATAAGCAGTTGTCATTAGAAACTAACATAGTTTACAAAGTAGAATAGAGCTTTGAAATATGATTCAGTGTGGTAATGCCGTGACTAACATATTGATACAGATTCATGTAACCCCCGTCTAAAGATTTTATTGGACATATAGTGATTCTAGGATAAGCAGATAAGCAGACGTCTGACCAGCCCTTGGCCCTGCCAATATGTTCCATTTCATTTGTTTATTTCCATGTGAAGATAAAAACAATATTAAATATTCTTCAAAATATGAACTTATATAATATAATGAGATATCTGAAGGGGGGATCATATAAAGCACATAAATGGCTTGTTAAAAACAACTTTTTTGCACTTGCATTATCAATAATGACTTCTTTTGAATCTCTGCACTCATACCCGTCTCTGCATTTTTAAGTTTCCACTCTTGTTTAGATAAATGGTCTAACCTGTCTATAGCGACCGCCCAAGGGAAACACAAAAAACAATCTTTGTAGACAGGTTCCTTTAGTACATGTTTCAATGAGAAACAATTATTAAGGGAAACAAAAAATGTGATCTTAAGATTATATGCTTGTAATCTTTAAAAATGTGCTAATTTAAAACTGGTTTAGGCTACTTTTTTATTGAGTTTTTGGTATTAACCTCTATATTCTGCACAAATTATGTAAGAAATAGTATCAATGAAAAGAATTCATTCACAAGTTAAAATGGGTATTGTATGATTTCACAAATTTATTTATACATTTTGTTCCAGAATTACAGTAATTTGGTAGGAACAAGGAAGTTGCAACAAGATATTCATAAAGGAAAAGAGCAATTCATTCAATTACCCCATCCCTCTTTTACAAACTTTCAAGTGAACCAAATGGATCACTAACTCCTAAAAAAGAATACTAATGCTATTATACCCAGTTTAAACAGCTTTTCCCGTTTGAACCAGACCAAGAATACAGTAACTCCATGCATATATTTAATTTTACTTTTTGCCGAGCACATTATTTTGAGATGCTCTTAGAAGCTAAATATCTGCAGAAGAGCATGTAGTTCTTATTTTCATTTTTTTATTGAGATGACTTAGTTTTTGTTTTGTTGATTTGCTTTTTTAGCAAAATAGATTTTGCGCTTGTCTATTTTTAAACAGTCCTCAGACCCCCACCCCCCCCCCCCACCATCACCTCACAGAAAAAACTGAAATGAAATGAAATAAAAATTAAAAAAACCATTTGTTTTTTTATACCATTATTCAGATTCTTTTAATTTATCGAGTCCACATTCCACCAACCCGCTTGATTCATTCTTGAACTGAATGATATAAATAGAATAATATAATTGTTGAAAACTATGAAACATGTTTATTAATGAGCTTGAGAGTAAATATTTCATAATCCATTTGTCTGGTGGAGGCTTTTTTTTTTTTTAATTCTTTACAGAACTGGATATTTTATTTGTATTGCAAATATTTGATCTTCTGAAACTAACCTAACAACTTTGCTTTATTCTCAAAGATTAAAGTCATATATATGGATTTAGAATATGCATGCTCGATTGTGTTTATAATGAAATGGCAACTGTCTGTTTGGTTTGGGCTTGTGGTTAATCGTACTATTAATAATTATCTTTCTTTCTTTGTTCATAATTAGAAGTGAAAAACAATTTTAGATTGCATAATGATTTGATGTTGTCTTACATGTAAGAGTAGGAAAATAGATGTGCCAAGATATCAGTTCATAAATGATGAAAAACAATTTGGGCTTCCCTAGCCAATTTTCTTTGGTTGAATATTTATATTGTAAATGATTTTTATGGATATCTCGAACTTGGAAAGGTAAGTACAAAATGATGTAAATATACAGACATATACTTAAATTGTTAATATCTAAGAAAGCGGAGTAGAAGTGTGAAACTCACACTTTTCTCTTTTTGATAAGAGAGATATGAAATGCAAGTTGATAAGTGCTTGATAGTTTTGTTAAAGCCTAGTAGTATGATATTCATATTATAAACATTAAATATACTTACATGTATCCCCTGAAGTATATGTATCAATCTTCGAACCTTAACATGCAATCTGTGAAACAGTCGTGGAAAATATCATCAGAGCATATGCCATACAATTCATTTAGTGTCCCATTATACAGACAGTGAAAATCATATTAAAAAGAAAATACATTAAATCATGTTTTAAAAGGATTTATGAACATAGTCTGAGCTGGAAGTATTTGTGATGCACAACAAATCTCTATTCTGTGCAGGAGGGGCAGATCTAAAAATAATTATGAAAAAGGGTCAGATTTCCAAGAAATAGTTGACAAGCCCCCCCTCCCCCCCGACCAAAAATATTAATTGATCAACGCATTTCCTTTCTTGTTTTTAGTCAAAAGTTAGAAGGGGATATGACATCTTATTTTTGGCCTTAAAGTATGTTTGTAATTTAAGTATGTCAAATGTTTTTTGAAAAGTGGGAGGGGCCAGTTGACCCCCTCCCTCTCCCACTTCCCTCATCCACCAGTGCTGTAAAGAGTATCCAATATCTTTCCAATGTTCTTTTTAGGTTTGACTATGATGAGCTGTGTCGTTTCATCTTAACGGTGAGGAAGAACTACCGCAGAGTGCCCTACCATAACTGGACCCATGCCTTCTCCGTCGCTCACAGTGTATACACCATGATCATGACGGGGCAAGGACAAGTCTTTAATCCATTAGAGGTAACATTAGTGCTTTCTTCTTAAAGGGAGTGTAGCTTGGCAAATACTGGTTAACGCCATCTACATCTTCTTTTGGACAACTGCACTTAAACAAATGGACTTGATTAACGGTAGTCAGCGACTTAACCTCTACAGTCTACATGGTCAGCGTTCACGAAACAGACCGAAGTTCCCCTCACACTTCGGTTTCACATATGTTGCACGCACGTGATTGCTGCGGTCTGGTCGTCCATAGTCGTATTATACCCGATTGGCCCCAAGTCAGGCCACAGGAAAGACACATAGTTTCATCAGGCTACACTCCCTTTAACCCATTCAAGTTTAGAAGTTTTGAAAAGTTTAAATAGATAGGTGTTGCTTTGTAGCATTGGCTTCATTGGCTCCGGATTTTGGCCTAAGTGTGAAACATTATTCCTATAATTTACTCTTCCATTGTTTAGGACAAATACAAATTTATTGTGAATGAACTAGTGTGAATAACAATCACAAAATGACTAACAAAATAAGCTAATTTGTATATTGCCAATTTACAGTTTCTAATCATTTTTCAATTAAATTGCTCTTATTTATGAAGGGCACAATGTCCATTAAAAGCACATTTACTCAGATTTCTCTGTGACTATTGCTCATTCTGCACATTTGGTATGTTTATTTCATATACTTCTGGATCTAAAGATCTTATGTTTTGTTGACATTTTATTTACATTCCACTTGCCTAAACCTTACCATTAAAACGATGCCTACTGGTATTCACAATTATTTTGAAAGATGTTTCTTGGAATAAAGCTTTATTGCAAGTATTCAAATTTGTCTTTGACTTTAAATGCTAACCCCAAGAATTTTAGAATTTTGCATGTCCACAGGTCAGATGATATTGTATTTAATGCATCGTAATTGCTTCCCTTTTACCCTTTGTTCAACCTTTGACCCTATGTTCGACCTTTGACACTATGTTCAACCTTTGATGCTATGTTCAACGTTTGACCTTATGTTCAACCTTTGACCCTATGTTCGACCTTTAACCTCCTCCAGGCCTTGGCTCTGTTTGTAGCCTGTCTGTGCCATGATCTTGATCATCAGGGTAAGAACAATGCTTTCATGGTGAACACAGCATCACCCCTACTGTATATTCAACCTTTGACCCTATGTTTAACCTTTGACCCCCTCCCCTCCAGGCCTTGGCTCTGTTTGTAGCCTGTCTGTGCCATGATCTTGATCATCGGGGTAAGAACAATGCTTTCATGGTGGACACAGCATCACCCTTAGCATCAGTGTACTCTACCTCAACCATCATGATTACAGCTTTCCTTTGACCCTATATTCAACCTTTGACCCTGTGTTTAACCTTTGACCCCCTCCAGGCCTTGGCTCTGTTTGTAGCCTGTCTGTGCCATGATCTTGATCATCGGGGTAAGAACAATGCTTTCATGGTGAACACAGCATCACCGTTAGCATCCGTCTACTCTACCTCAACCATGGAACATCATCACTTCAACATGACCATCACAATCCTTCAGGTAGGCATGTCTGAATTTTTTTATTTTTAAATTTTTTTTACATACTGCATGTCCAACAACCCGCCCTAAAATGTTGACTTGATCACAAATTCAACAGAAAACTTTCAATAATAATTACCTATGTCAAATAAACATGTAACTTCATCTCTCCTCCCTACGTTTTCTTACTTCACCTTTTCCTATTTCCCTTTGCCTGTATGTTTAGTGTTTAATGTGATTTTTGTTTTGTTAAATTAAGTTTGTTTTGTATCTCATGTTTATTGTATGTATATTTCTTTATGTATTGGGCACCCCATTAATCAAGCCTTGGCTTTTAGGGGCAACCTGACCATTTATACTGTATAAATAATATTCTTATAAAGAATGAAATGCCGATAATACTGAAATAACAATAAAAACATACCTATATTTGTATATAAACTATATGTACTAATATGGAGGAAAAAAAACAGCATGAGAAATGGACATTTCTGCATTGGAAGTGTGTCGCCCGTGGGTGTAATCTTTGTTTTAATGAATTCCTTTTCTTTGCCATCATGGTTTCTTTTTTGGTTGCACGAGGTTGGCAGCTCTGCTTTCATAGCTTTTCATCTCTTCCATTTACCATCACTCTTTATACTTATCTTCCACTTAATCTTGACTTATCCCTACACTCCAGAATGATGGTCATAACATCTTCAAGCACCTCTCCTCAGAGGAATACAAGCAAGTCCTGGGTGATATCAGACATGCTATCCTAGCTACCGACCTCGCCCTCTTCTTCCCTAACAAAGCCAAGCTCAAGAAGATTGTGGAGGAGAAGAACTTCTCATGGGATAACCAGGAACACAGGTAAGAAAGGAGGGGCAAGAGAAAGAGGGAGGGAGGGAGTCAAATCATTGTTTGTTGGAATATCAATTCCAACATTAAACCATGGGTGATTTGAAGCCATTACCTTCGTACCCCTTGGATGAATTTTCTTTTAATAAAATTCTAAAAAGCTGCTGTAAAGGATCCCTCCGTTGCACTATATGGTCCATATAAAAGGCCTAAAGTGTAATATTTGATCAAGCCAAATCAGGCCAAGTTTTTTTTTTACTTTAAAGAGAAAAAAATCACAAACACCTCTAACTTACTGATATTTTCATGGACATGTAACTAGTAGCTTTTCAAAATTGTGCCTGGAAAAAAGGTTAACATTTCAATTGATGAAATCAACTAAGAAATAATCTTCTAGGATTTTTTTTCAAGGGGGGGGGGGGTGCAAGAGTTAAAAATAACCCCCCCCCCCCCCTGGAAAAAAAGATGCAAAAGCTTTTTTATGCTAGCAACGAAAGGAAGTGCATTATTGTTCAAATTGCAACAAAGAATCCCTGTAAAAATCAAAGAATGAATTTAATGATATATTTTTGTATGCATTTTTATTGCTTCGTATCATACTGTTTATTCTTAAGTTGATTTTCAAATGAGTTGCAAATCTAAAATATTCTGAGCTTCCAGAGTTATGAGGGTAAAGAGCTTCAAGTCATGCATGGAAATGTAGTGGGTTTTAAATAATGCTAATACTTTTGACAGAAAGGTGAATTTTTCCAAGTGGTTACAATTTTAGATGTGAGAAAGATGCTTGATGAGAGATCAAACTCATTTGAATGGAGTGGTTGAAAGTTTCACTTTCTTTACAGTTTCACGGTTTCTTTACGGGTTAGTGTGACCCCTGTGTCAAAAAGGGGTGTTGTGAGATGCAAGAATTTGTGAGATGCAAGAATGGGTGATATCAAGATGACTGGTGGTATAGATGAGGTGCTATGAGGGTAAGGAGGGGTGATATCAAGATGACTGGTGGTATGGATGAGGTGCTATGAGGGTAAGGAGGGGCGATATCAAGATGACTGGTGGTATGGATGGGGTGCTATGAGGGTAAGGAGGGTTGATATCAAGATGACTGGTAGTATGGATGGGGTGCTATGAGGGTAAGGAGGGATGATATCAAGATGACTGGTGGTATGGATGGGGTGCTATGAGGGTAAGGAGGGGTGATATCAAGATGACTGGTGGTATGGATGAGGTGCTATGAGGGTAAGGAGGGGTGATATCAAGATGACTGGTGGTATGGATGGGGTGCTATGAGGGTAAGGAGGGGTGATATCAAGATGACTGGTAGTATGGATGGGGTGCTATGAGGGTAAGGAGGGGCGATATCAAGATGACTGGTGGTATGGATGGGGTGCTATGAGGGTAAGGAGGGATGATATCAAGATGACTGGTGGTATGGATGGGGTGCTATGAGGGTAAGGAGGGGTGATATCAAGATGACTGGTGGTATGGATGAGGTGCTATGAGGGTAAGGAGGGGTGATATCAAGATGACTGGTGGTATGGATGGGGTGCTATGAGGGTAAGGAGGGGTGATATCAAGATGACTGGTGGTATGGATGGGGTGCTATGTTGGTAAGGAGGGTGATATCAAGATGACTGGTGGTATGGATGGGGTGCTATGAGGGTAATAAGGAGGGGTGATATGTATGGATGGGGTGCTATGAGGGTAGGGAGGGGTGATATCAAGATGACTGGTAGTATGGATGGGGTGCTATGAGGGTAAGGAGGGGTGATATCAAGATGACTGGTGGTATGGATGGGGTGCTATGTTGGTAAGGAGGGTGATATCAAGATGACTGGTGGTATGGATGGGGTGCTATGAGGGTAATAAGGAGGGGTGATACAGTACACGCCGAAAATCTCCGCAACACGATTACACGATTTATTTTTAGGATTACACGGTTTACACGATTCACCTGAATCGTGTAACTGTGTAATCGTGTAAATTTACACGATTGAAGAATGTCGCTCTGAATCGTGTAATCGTGTAAATAGTTAAGTGCATTGGTCGGATGATTCGACCAGCTGTAACAATCGTGTAACTGTGTAATCGTGTAAATTTACACGATTGAAGAATGTCGCTCTGAATCGTGTAATCGTGTAAATAGTTATTAGGGTTATAAGGGCATTGGTAGAACGATGCGACAAGCTGCAACAATCGTTAAATCTTATCCTGCTTACACCAATTGCTTTATACACAACTTACCTTCAGTGTACATCAGTTAATTACTGTACTTTATATTCGTGTATAAACCTCAGCACTTTCCACTAACATGTATCGTATACTAATCCGTGAGACAAGGTAGGAAAACGTCAGAAACAGGAAGACATGATAGATGAAATAGTAAAGGAAAAAAGATAGCTACGAGAAGGGAACATATAAAAGGAAAATGAGGGTTGAAAGGCACGATAAAGATAAACAGAAAAAAAGAGAGAAAAAGGGGAAAACTAAAAAGTTGACCGGAAGAAAAGAAAGAGTGAAATAGAGTGATAAAAAAAGAAGGGCGAAACCTAGTAAAATTAACAGAAATGAGAAGGCTATGAAACGGAGAGGAAAAGAGACAAATTAATAAGGTAAGAGGGGAACATAATGAAGGAAAGAGAGGCGAGAAAGATATGGGGGAATGGAAAGATATTGAAAGAAAGAGAGAGAGTGAGAGAGAGAGAAAGATAAAAAAAAAAAAAGCTTTAGTTGAAAGAAAAGGGGCACCGATCAGATTTTAATAGGGGCATTTATCGGAGTTGAGGGGGCATTTATCAAAAGTGAAGAGGGGCACTTCTCGTACTTAAAGAGGGATACTTACTAGAGATTAAAAGGACACTAATGAGAATGGAAAATGGACACTTATTGTAAAGGAAAATAGGAACTCGTCGAAGGAAAAGGGGTGTGTGTCAAAAGAAAAGGAGCACTTATCAGAGTTGAAAAGGGGAAGGGGCACTTTTACAAATTAATAGGGACACTTGTCAAAGTAAAATAGGTACTTTTCCTACATACAAAGAGGCACTTTGGGGGAACTTGAAAAAGTGGGGGGACACTGTGCCGCTAGCTAAACGTAACTCAAAGACAGTTGGCCATTCACTTATTCTATTCATTCTCGGCTTGCAACTGTTCCCTACACTCTGTAGCCAGTGGCTTACATACTTACGTACATGTAATACCTATTGTTCAGGGGGATCCTATGTTCAAGGGGAACCCCCTGAACAATAGGTATTATGTAAGGATCTCTGCCTGTAGCTAGGGCAACGGCCTTTGTCCCCGGCGAGGGTCAATGGCAGGCCACATTCAGAGTAAGCTTCTTTTGTATGTGACAGGAAGTGTGCCCTTAAGCCTTGACCGTAGCTCTTTATACATATAGCTGAATAATGCAATGTTGTAAAAGGTAATTTACGAAAATGAGGAACGCTAAAAAAGCAATAAGTGATCAAAGTCTAAGGCCCGAATTCACAAAGGAGGTTTGTCGACAAACCTTGGTTTTCGTGCGTCATATGACGCGTTTTTACAAACCAGGTTTGTAAAATGGATAATGATTGAATACAAAAAAGTATAACGATATTCATAGTAACGAATGAGCTGGTGAACCGTAATTCTAATTGGTACAGCCTTGTAATGTAAGAGTATCACAACATACTTAATTATGTTAGCCCTCCTTTACATTTTGTAATCATTTTTACTTATTTACAACTTAGGAATAACAAAATTCCCCTTTCCTTCGTCGTTCATCGCTTTTTTCTTTTTTCTCACCGAGGATTAAATCCGAGAGTGCTTTTCGGGAAGTGGACTGATTTTTTTAACTTTCAAACATGCTATAATAAAACTAGAGACAAGACACTGCAATTAAAAATATATACAAGAGAAAGAAAGCGTAATCTTCGCTATCCCCTCGTATCGTCCACGTTGTCAACCAAGAAGTAACTTCTTGCTTTTACTGAACTAGACGTCCTTAACCTGCTCACCATTACCACTGAAAATAAATTGTAATACAATTCCAGCGAGCAATCGAATCGTGTAAATTTTGAATCGTGTAATCGTGTTGCGGAGATTTTCGGCGGGCAGATTACACGATTACACGATTCGACCTGAATTGAGGAATCGTGTAATTTTACACGATTACACGTTTACACGATTCAAATTTCGCTTCATTGGCAAAAAACGAATCGTGTAAAAATAAATGGTTACACGATTCCCGCGAGCAGTCGAATCGTGTAAATTTTGAATCGTGTAAATCGTGTTGCGGAGATTTTCGGCGTGTACTGTATGTATGGATGGGGTGCTATGAGGGTAAGGAGGGGTGATATCAAGATGACTGGTGGTATGGGTGGGGTGCTATGAGGGTAAGGAGGGGTGATATCAAGATGACTGGTGGTATGGATGGGGTGCTATGAGGGTAATAAGGAGGGGTGATATGTATGGATGGGGTGCCATGAGGGTAGGGAGGGGTGATATCAAGATGACTGGTGGTATGGATGGGGTGCTATGAGGGTAAGGAGGGGTGATATCAAGATGACTGGTAGTATGGATGGGGTGCTATGAGGGTAAGGAGGGATGATATCAAGATGACTGGTAGTATGGATGGGGTGCTATGAGGGTAAGGAGGGTGGTATCAAGATGACTGGTGGTATGGATGGGGTGCTATGAGGGTAAGGAGGGATGATATCAAGATGACTGGTAGTATGGATGGGGTGCTATGAGGGTAAGGAGGGTGGTATCAAGATGACTGGTGGTATGGATGGGGTGCTATGAGGGTAAGGAGGGTGGTATCAAGATGACTGGTGGTATGGATGGGGTGCTATGAGGGTAAGGAGGGGTGATATCAAGATGACTGGTGGTATGGATGGGGTGCTATGAGGGTAAGGAGGGTGGTATCAAGATGACTGGTGGTATGGATGGGGTGCTATGAGGGTAAGGAGGGATGATATCAAGATGACTGGTGGTATGGATGGGGTGCTATGAGGGTAAGGAGGGTGGTATCAAGATGA